AGAGCTACGAGAAAGCACGATGGCCGTGATACAACACATCAGTGATAATCCTTTCCAGCTACGCCCAGATGTGGATGTAAGCACCTCTCTTTAAAACCTTTATGGCACCATAGACTAAGGAACAATCTAATCTTTCTCTACAAATCCATAAATGGACTGTCATTCTCCCGCTCAATTATGATCCATGACTCAGCCTATAGACTAAGAAACAACGCATAAACACTATTTACCGTAAAACACGAAAAACAAATGCGTTGTAAGTTTTTTACAATGCGGTATAGTTTATTGTGGAACAGGCTGCCAATACCTTTCCATAACTGTGACATTTCTCCCGAATTTAAAAGGCTAATAACCTTGTTACTAGACTCAGAATAGCTTCAACATCTATTCCTTGAACTCCCGCCCACCAATGAGGCACTTTATTATAGACCTCCTGTTACGTCCAATTATGAGTTTTGCCCATTCCAACTATTGAAGTACTGGCCGTCGATATTCGCAAATCACGAAACCAAGTAGGCAAGAGAACGAAAACTCCAAATTAGATACCAATTTTATTCGCAATTCACAAATAATCGACCGAAGTCGTTCTAACAACAATAATTAGAACAATTACAAAACAAACTTTCAATTTGGTAGGTTCCCGGAGCAAAAACTCCAAAATACTAAACCAATGACAAAAGAAACCAAAATGTCCGAATGAATGATATAAACAAACAAGTCCAAAGGTTAAGTAGAACAAACACATCCAAAACACAGTAAAATTGATGTACAGTAAAAAAGTTTAAATCAGCCAAATGTCTTCAGTTGTCCCGTAACACCACCTAATATCTAGACGGAACAAAAACATAACGAACCCCATTGTTATTAGTATGAATATAACCAAACTAAATAGCACATTCCAGCACCTCTCCCCCCATTCATTGATGATTAATCATGGCCTTCCGCTCCTAACCTTCACTTTCAGATTCCGAACCTCTCTAATGGTTAAAACCACATTATTCTTCACAAGTGTCATGTCTTTTTATTTCTTTTTCTATTACAAGCAGACAGATAACACACTAATCTTATGTATGCTGATCAACTAAGGTCTGACAAAATAAGCTCAAAATGTCCTACATTCTTGTGAGTTACTCAATGTTTTATTTTTCTTACCCTGAAAATTTTAAAATCTTCTACTCTTTCATATCTTTTGATTTGTTATTAGTTCTTACCATTTCTTAACCACATATAATCTGACCTGTCTTTCTTAGCTTATACCATTAGTTATCTTCATAGCAGTATGATATATTAAATGGATATCCAACCCATAATACAAATGTTTTTACCATCTGATTTGCTTGTAACATGGAACTTGTAGAGACAATGTTTTCCAACTATGGTCCTTGGTTAAAGCAATATTATTACTGACCACAAACGTAAAAAAGCCTAATATCATAAGAGGAGGGAGGGTGGCGTTACTGGCAAGCAAACATGATGATGGGGAGATAACTTTAATCCACCAATGTCTGTAGGCAAGATCATGTTAAATTAAGGCTCCTTGTGTCAAGTGAGACGTCACGAATCAACGGTATTAATGCTGACTTATTTATGCGAAATACCTCTTTAAATCCTGTTTAAAACGCTGGATTGATTTCCCTTCCTAACGAATAATCCAATTCTAAGCAAACTAGACAATTCGCTGTAAATGAAGCATACTCCACACTCAATAAACCCCAAAAAGGGCTCAAAAAGCTTTGAAAAAGAAGGGATACAGCTATTTGTGTATCAGAATACTGTTTTCGGCACTATATTGCATAACTACACATAGTCACATACTTCCAAGCTTCTTTCTGAACCACCTTCATTCATATAGTTCCTTATTCACTCATAACTTGTTTACACTTATTTTCTTTAACATATTAGAATGCTCTTTTTTAATAAGTACCTTATTAACAGAGAAAGAGACTAAGTAGTTATGCCTTAACTATTCATCCATGAATATCGCTTGTTCTACTTCTCATCCTTTCTTTTTCCTACACCCTTTCAACCTTCTTGAGATACGCCACCGAAAACAGATATGGAACGGGTGACTTCGTCCTGCGCCACTATTAAAATCTCAGACATTCCAGAGGGATATAAGGTTTCGGTTTCTAGAAGCCACCAACTTCACATGGATCTATTCTCGACCGTCAGTTGCATGTCACAACGCAACCTTCATAAAGCGCTCCGATTATGTTGCTGACAATACGTTTCTTATTAAAACCATCTACATTTATATCTTATAAAATATCAACCCAGCTGAGCAATTTACTGCAGTGGAAATTGTAACTTCTGTACCAATTTGATATTGCCTATAAACTGGAATCCCTCATGTAACAAGCTGTCATTTGAGAGTAAATAATGGTAATAATTATTACTAATAATTGTCATCTTCAATGTATGTATGTTCAGAGAACTTGACTTTAGGAAGTTTGAAGTCTCCTACAATCAGAATATAAGTGTATTGTAGGCAAGTAGCGTAGAATAATCCTTTCAGCATACGATTGTCAAACTCGATGTCAGCAGTGGGCTTCCCATAGATTGCTCCAGTTAGAAACCTCGTGGTTGTAGACAATCTAACTTAGAGCCACACAGATTCATCAAGATTGATAAACGTTTGAGTGTACACTTGGTGTGCTACTAAGTATGATCCCAGGTACAGTGTACTTAGCCCCCAATTCCTGTTTTTCTGTCGTTGCTAAACAAAGTCCACAAGAGGAATAGTCAGCCTTGAAATACCTTTGTGCTCGATCCTTGAATCAGGTGGCCTGTTCGGATGTACGTGATTTTCAGCTGGCAACCGGCTCCTCTTGGTAAAAATACTTCGAGTGGCAGCTGTCATATGAGAGGATGGTAAGGTTATCTTCACTAGTTGGTGTCCAGAATACCCGTCATTCCTGGCTAATCGTGTTACTTGTTGAGTCAATATTTTCTTGATCCTCAAGGACTGCTTTTAGAATTTCCAATCTAGAATATCATTGTCTGGATTGTTGGAGTTCGTGTTTTCTAGGACACCTTGCACAATGATATCTCTTCTGCAGAAAAACTCGCGAGATTCCTTACGGATGTTCTTTATGAGAATGCGGTCAGAATAAGGTAAGTCAAGCAGTGTTCTTGCATTCCTATCTGATTTCAGTAAATGACTAGCCAATAAGATATCCTCTGCGACGGTAGCTTTAGTGAGCGTAACACTAAGTAGTCTTGGGTGATTTTGACTTTTGGATTCTTTTCTCCGAATGCACAGTACGAATGTCAAAAGCTCTTTTTTTGGGAAGTTCTAGCTTCCTGCTTAACTCTTACCAGAGCCTCCGGTCATTTTGTCCTGCAGGCTGAGGGGAAGGTCAGAACTGTCTTTAAGGTTTATCATTATGAGAGAATCATCTCAAACCTAGATCATTTCTTCAGGTTTTCGGGTCCTTTGAGGACGGGGTATATTTTGTTTGACAGTTAGATTGCGTTTCGTATTCGCGTTAAATTAATACCTATGTGTTTCTTTTAAAATATCACCATATTCGGGTTCATGATTTTGTTGTTTGGTGGCTGAAGCGTTTCAGATTCCTGTGCTCTATGCTGACCGGTTGAAGAGTCTTAGGGGGTAGACTGTACGACCAAATCACCAGCTGATTTTGCTACAATACCTAGAATGTTCTGCTCCTTTGACAGCGACATCCGGCCCTTTCTAACTTTGTTGACAGGATTCTAATCACCTACATAATTTCTGAGGACCACCGTTGCATTCAGAAATCCTGTGCTAGAGGACCCAAGTTTGCTGGAGGAGTTTAGTACCGTCGATGTTATGATGGTGCTGAGCTCCAGCATATCCTTAGTGTCATTGCATGCTTCGCCTGTGCACGTTTGTTTGTTTACCTGTATTAGGGCTGCCTTTTTCCAGGTTTGCTGACAACTTTTTCCACAGACCAGTCAAGAGAATGATGTTGTTCAACAAAACCTCAGCATTCATATTGCCACATACCCACCTACTATCCGACTTACTAAATCTGCTGTCAACAGTTACTGTAAGATCCGTGCATTCTTCTTGAAAACCAACCTTTTTATTTGTCACAATGCGTGCCAGAGGTAACAGCAAATATGTGACCGGGTAGCCAGAATGAATTCTTCATGACTATGGTGATGTGAATTGTTTAATAGATCTGTAAGGCCAGTGAAATGTCAGTGAACCCTAGCCAGATCATCCGGCAGTTGGGTAACTGAATATCGAACAGATCATCGATCCCTGTCAAGGTCAAGGACTATCAACGCCCATCAGTTAATCATACGCCATGGATTGGCCCATGCGGCAGTGGTTCTACTTTCGCTTGTATCTACTTTAACTAATATATTCCTGTAATAACGTCCGTTTTGTTGTACAGTTTTCAGAGCATCCATGGTCCCTTGATGCGTCGATGGGGCAATACACGTAAGGTGCTGGTCGCGAGGTGTGACTTCGAAGTTAGCTTGTTCGTTACACCTTTCCCGTCTAATTTGAGTGGGCCTCCAATCATTCGACATAGATCATCAACGTTGATGGTCTCCAGATTCTATTAAAAGCTCACCATAAAACAAAAACCGTTACACCAAAAACAGATAAACCGGATAAAAACGGGTTCCACACAAAGTTAGGATACACTTAAACCAGACTTAACGTGGAAAACTGAAAATAAACCGAATGGTAAGCTGGCGCAAAACCACAGTCAACAATTAATTTGTGTGAAACTCAAAACGAAAAGTAATCTGCCAAACACTAAGCTCAGGACACATTCATTGGGTCAAAAAAAGCAATTTGTTGCGTAAGGACACTTCAGAAAATTGAGACATGCAAATCACTCTAGGACTAAACTTCCCGTTCGTACAGGGCGTGCACAACACGTAATTGGAGCTCACTCTGTCTATGCTTTCAAAAAGAAGTTGGCCAATGAAACCATCATTGCCAGGACTAACGAATGTCATTTGGCCTTCTGTCCATTGCATGCTTAAACAGAATACTATCAGTCAGTGACCTACAGAAAGACTTTGATTGGCACCAGCAAATGTCTAGAAATTCCTGGATATTTATTTTTAAATATTCTAAACCATGGGTGGTGACTGCACAGCAAAAGTAAAGAAACACTGTTTTTACCGTTGCAATTAAAGACAGATTAGGTGTTGAAAATCTAAAAACTGAAACTTCGCATGAATAGATTCCGCATATCAACGTAAAGTGCGCCGTATTTGAATCTACCTGCCACTGATGTCTGTGGTCATCTCAACACTCTTAGTTTTGTTGGGTAGTTTCTGCCCATGTTTAGGTAGTAAAAACAGACCAAGAGATTCGGATGAAATTCTGTATTTACCAGGAGCTTGGCCACAACCGAGTTTCAAGCAGTACTCTGGATATCTTCGTGGGTCATCTGATAAGATCCATATTCATTACTGGCTTGTCGAAGCTACTTCGTCACCGAAGTCAGCTCCCTTAATTGTGTGGTTGAACGGCGGACCAGGATGCTCTTCTTTGGAAGGTTTACTTACTGAGAATGGTCCTTACCTCGTGAGTTTTTTTATGTTAGAGTTTTATAGTTCGGATAACGTTCAATGTAATTATCTCGAAAATCATAAAAACCGCCTAATAATTCAGTGGTTTTCTATCTTTGCCGGATTTTCAGGACTCCTTGTTTAAGAAGAGAGAAAAACATGTTTATCCTTCTCACTTTACTGTAGTAAATCAGGGAATATGTGCGATTTTCTACCACGAAATCAATTCTGAATATTCCCGTAACAAGTACATAGCTGATACCGTCAATTCAGAACTGGTGAAACAATTGTAGATTAATTGTTATGGGGTTAGTACATTCACTGAGATTAGCATACGTATTGTTTAATTCTCGTAACATTATTCGGCGAGACATGGACGAGCCAATCAGAAGCTTTCGCGGGTTTTCAAGGTCACAGCGCTAAGTTCGGTACCTGACGCTTACGTACGGTCAGTTTACAAAGGATTTTAGAGAAAACATGATAATTAAGAGTCTACAAGATATGTTACCATAAGATTTTGGCGCAAAATTCAATTATATATTTGGATTGAGTTGTGGCATTATAGCTGATGTCAGTTCGTGATGAAAACCCTAAGTAAAATTCATAACCTTAACCATGAACTGTAAATCATAATTTGAATTCTTCACACGGGTTTATGACCTTCATTTAGTCTTATTTATTACGTTGACACTCAGATTCACTCTAGCGTCGCTCAAATGTCGTCCATTATTTATAGTATCATCTTTAACCCTAAACCTTAACCCTAATCCTAAACCATACCAACATACCGACAACACTGAAACTATGTGGTCGAGGCTGAAAGAATTTTCGGGACTTTATCATGGTTCCAGATGTCCACTACCATGGAGCCACATGGATGGGTTCCTGTACCGGATGCACTATGATTTTAAAACTTCTGAACCTATATTTGACCTTGATAAGTTTTTGATGCATGTAAAAGAACAGTATCCCCTTTAATTTTTGAGTTTTGCATAATATATTTTTATTGTATGCTAACTGTCTTCTGATTGGCCAATATTTCTCAAGGTCATTTAAGATTCGTTCATAGGTCGTCCATGTTCTTTAGTCTCGCCCATTATTCAACCCCAATATTAATGTGCTGCCTTCTAAATAGACAAACAGTAACGAACTTTTCACATATCCTGTCTAAAAATACGACGGTAATGTAAATCCTGGATAAACCATTTAAAGAATTTCAACTGTTGTTGTTAGCTGTAGTCCATAATTGTACAAATGTTATCCTGTTGGTTTTATAATTCGTTTATAAGATACTGCTTAATTGAAACATTTGTAAGAATAAAAAGACTAATCAGTCTAGGTGGCTACGGCGGTTCACGATGGAGCTGCTGTGGTTTCTTGTTCGAAATTTCAAAACACAAACAATAAAAGGGGAAATAAAGGCAAAGAAAGGGGAATAAAGCGAAAAATGCATTGGAAAACAAGTCAGAAGTTATGTGCAAATGCGCCAAAATGTTTGCTTTTTCGCCTGTCCGGAGGAAATAAAGCAGAATTTCCCCTTTCTGTCGCTCTGTTTTTCAAATGTCGCTAAATTGCCGACTTTTACCCTAATTATCCGTAGAATTGCCGATTTTTACCCTAAATATCCGCTACGTTGTCTACTTTTCGACCAAATACACACCGATGTAATTTACCGCCCACTTTTAAAACGCTTTTGTATTTACCCCAACTGCCTTCTGTGTTTGCCTTCATTCCCACAATACAGCACACGGATAATGTAATGTACGTAAAATATGGTATAAATTCAAAATTTTTATTGAAAACAAAAAACTTATTAATGTACAACGTTATGAGCAGTTTGCAAATGGTAGAGCATCAGTGTTCATCATGTAATTGCAATTGTCACGGACCAGGCATTGTTTCTTTCCATCACGCCTGTTGGACTATGGAGACTCAAATAATTCTTGTGAATTCTGAAATGTAATGAAGAAAAACGCTACTATATCTAAGAAACTTGTTTTGCACAACTAGGTACTGGAAGCTGAACTTACGGTTATATCCTTGAACACGGAAGACTCTACCTATAGATAACGGGAAAACAATAATCACTTTAAGGTCTTACGTACGTGTTCTTTCTTCCGTCGATGACGCTTCTGTACTTTGTCTCTCATGTCGTGAAAATAACTTTGCGTAGCTATGTCATACAGTTTCGCAAGGTCTTTCTCGTTGACAGATGACGACAGGAATCGATTAGTAAGTGCACCTAAAGTTTAAGAACCTTATTTATCATACTTCGTACACAGCCATAAAACCGGCACTTCTGAAGCGCTCGTTTTGATAAAGTACCAAGTAGCGTGAAATTAATGGCGACTTCATGTATCATGATGTAGGACAAGATATCGCATGGAGGTTTTAAGATCGTCATCCATTAAACGCGTCAACATGGCCACCTGTAATAGGAATGAATGATAAAATTTATGTTGTGTGCTTACAAATCTGTCCCTCACGTCTTTTTGCTTACGACAAGCGTCCAAAGTTCCCAGTTCCTCTTCAGATGACAAAGGGAACTGTTGACTGGATAGTCCACAGTCAAATTGACGCGAATGTTCGCGGTCAGTGAACATTGAGAGCATCAGCTTTATTACTTACTTACTTACTTTCGCCTGTTACTCCCAATGGAGCATAGGCCGCCGACCAGCATTCTCCAACCCACTCTGTCCTGGGCTTCCTTTTCTAGTTCTATCCAGTTCTTGTTCATTCTTCTCATGTCTGTCTCAATTTCTCGGCGTAATGTGTTCTTTGGTCTCCCTCTTCTCCTTTGACCTTCAGGATTCCATGTGAGGGCTTGTCTTGTGACGCAATCGGGTGATTTCCTCAAGGTGTGCCCAATCCACTTCCAGCGCTTCCTCCTGATTTCTTCCTCTGCTGGAATCTGGTTTGTTCTCTCCCACAGTAACTTGTTGCTGATAGTGTCTGGCCATCGGATCCGAAGTATCTTGCGTAGACAACTGTTAATAAACACTTGTATCTTCTGGATAATGGCTTTCGTAGTTCTCCACGTCTCCGCCCCATACAGTAGGACTGTCTTGACATTTGTACTGGAAATTCTAACCTTGGTGTTGGTTGACAATTGCTTTGAGCTCCAGATGTTTTTCAGTTGTAAATATGCTGCTCTTGCTTTGCCGATCCGCGCCTTCACATCTGCATCTGATCCACCGTGTTCATCAATGATGCTGCCTGGATATGTAAAGGTTTCCACATCCTTCAAAGCTTCTCCGTCAAGTGTAATTTGGTTGGTGCATGTTGTATTGTATCGGAGAGTCTTGCTTTTCCCTTTGTTTATATTGAGACCTACTGCTGCTGAGGCTGCTGCTACACTGGTCGTTTTCTCCTGCATTTGTTGTTGCGTTTGTGATAGAAGAGCCAGATCATCCGCGAAGTCTAAATCATCAAGCTGCATCCTGCCTGTCCACTGTATCCCGTGATTTCCTCCAGATGTTGACGTCTTCATGATCCAGTCGATTACCAGGACAAAGAAACGGTGAGAGCAAGCAACCTTGCCTTACACCAGTCTTTAATTCAAACGAGTCGGTGAGTTGTCCTCCGTGGACGATTTGGCAGTTTAGTCCATCATAGGAGTTCCGTTTTCCTTCCTAATAGCCCCCAAATGCCCTGGTACGGTCGAGCGTGGGGAGTCACCTCTCCCTCTCGAAATACTCTCATATGGCCAGCGAATATATAGCCTCTGCCAGGGAAGTTCACTCGCTGCCTTCTCGTGGCGGGGGTGTTGTTTATGAAACTGGAAGGACGAAAAGCGAATGTCCGGCGCCTTAACCGGGTTGGTGGATGTGGAGTGTCCATCTAGAAGAGTTAGAAAACCCTGGATTCAAACCAATGGTGCACATGGGCTTCAGTATCCTGAGGGAACAAATGGCGTACGAATCAATCACTGATTACCGGCCTCCATGATACTGCATCACCTCACGATGCTCCACTGCCTTATGGACTAGGCCTTCAGGTCAAAGGCTCGGAGTGTGGCCCCCTAAGAAAACCACTTGCTTCAGTCTGGGCACCTGGGCAGTATCACAGCCGTCACACAAATCGAATGAGATTTGTGAGGCGCATATTTATCTGGTGCTTCCTTGTACCAATATTTATGTGTTTAAATAAATAAATAAAAATAAGGAGTTCCGTATGATATTGACTATTTTCTCAGGCACGCCGTAGTGTCGAAGAAGCCTCCGCCTGTAGCTCCTCTGGGGGTTGCTGCCGGTCCCAAGCCCGGGTAAAGGAGGAGGGTTGGGCATGGGGTTAGCGACCCCATCCCGTAGAAAATCAACTCGCTAAAAAATGCTAACCAGAAAAATCAGCTTTATATTTGTACTAATTTCACTCAAGCTTGCCAATATTTTCAGCCGCACTGTATGCATTCTTTCAAATCTGAAAAATTGAACTTTATCGTACGGATGACTTATTCAGCCGTTAGATTTTTATCCTCGGACGTGGAGGGCGAGGTGTCTAATTGTGTTGAACTGCCTAATTGACATGTCCAAATTAAAGATACTTCGCAATCGGAGAGACAACCTTCTCAAACATCCGAAGTTTTGGATATTGGACGCGGCTATTCCTAGCCTGCATCTCTGCGACATCCATGTCCACGGAATTGTAAAGAAAACCTTCTTTACGTTTCAATGCACTTCTACGAAATTTAAGTAAGATTATTGAACTGACCTCTTTTGCTTCTCCGTGTTTAACGGCAACGTATTTTCGTCTGGCGGAGTTCTTATTAACTCCGCCTGTAGCTCCTCTGGGGGTTGCTGCCGGTCCCAAGCCCGGGTAAAGGAGGAGGGTTGGGCATGGGGTTAGCGACCCCATCCCGTAGAAAATCAACTCGCTAAAAAAACGCTAACCAGAAAAAATCATTCAAACCATTCAAACTCTGCCCTGAGAGTAGAAGGAATAATGACGTCTCATAATGAAAGCCGAGTTCCTTCGTAAGTCATGAGGCCGATGCACCTTCTTACATTCAGAGCAACA